TGTTGCCCATCGAAGCTGGACTGGATAAAGAAAATGTGGTACATATACACAATGGAATATGATGCAGCCATAAAGAAGGACAAATATATGGACTTCACAGCAACTCGGATGGCTTTGGAGTCGATTATACTCAGTGATCTATCACAGAGACAAAGAACAGAGTACCGTATGTTCTCACTCATAAGTGGACCTTGAACAATTATAATACTGTAAGGAAGCGTTTGGCAGTAATGGGAAACTGTCAAGGGAGGAGAAGTGGGATAGGCAGTTAGGGAAACTGCTAGGGGAGGGAGGGGCATACCTCATCAACAAGGGTACCTGCATAATCAATGTTTGTATACCTAACCCTGAATTGTACGCCGTATCTTTATAATAAAAAAAGGAATTGTGAAACCACAAAGGTAAGTTTATAAGAATTTTTCTGAATGAAGACCAGGTTATCAAGCAGCTCTCCCATGAAGACAGAACATACATTGCCGACTTCTTTCATAGTTTTTCACTGAATCATAGATGTTGCTGTATATGTAGCCTCATTATAAATGCAAACACAAAAATAGCATGTATTTTGTGGCATTATTTTTTGGGAAAAACCCAAGACTGCATTGTATTGTTTCTAAAGAGATTTTCTTATAGGAAGTCTGATTATTGAGTGAATCACTTCTCTGTTCTGAATTGTTGAGATTGTCAGATAAGTATGATGTTTTTTGAATATTCCTTGATTTTGTCATTTTACACCCAGAAAACATGTACTTCTAGATTCATACAGCTAAACAAAAGCAACATTTATTGAGAGTTTTTTTTATGATAAGCACTTGACTTACAGTATTACTTTGGTCTGCACAAAATTTTTCTGGGCTCAATTTTTCTTCCATTCTGTTGATAAAGAAACTTACTCAGGGTCACTTTTTAGGTTGAATTGTGTCCTTCCAAAATTCATTTATTGGAATCCTAATTTCCACTGTCTCAGAATGTGACCTTATTTGAAGATTAGGTCCTTACAGAGACAATCAAGTTAAAATGGAGTCATTACAGTGGACCTAATCCAAGGTGACTAGTGTCCTCATAGAAGAGAAAACTTGGACACATGATGTGAAGATATAGGAAGAAGATGGCCTCTTACATGCCAAGGAGAGAGACCTGGAACAAATCCTCCTCTCATGGCTCTCATGGCCTCTCAATACCTTGACCTTGAACTTCAAGACTCCAGAACTGTGAGACAATATGTTTCTGTTGTTTAAGCTACCCAGTCTGCGGTACCTTGTTAAAGTAGTCCTAGCAAACTAATGCAGTCACTTAGTACATGACAAAGACAGAATTCAGACTGTAGTCTAGTGCCCAAGCATATGCATGACCTTTTCTGTCTCTTTTCTGTGATTCTGAGTGGTCTGGGGAAGAACCGGCTGGTCAGTCGGGTGTTAGGTCCTGGTCATGGGAAGGACAGTGTCCCCTGTACTCACTCACCTGCAGCGGAGGAACTCTGTGAGCTAACAGTGGGGCTGCTGAAAATTCCCCTCTGACCTCCCCAACCTTGGCTTTCTGTGAGAGTGGCTTAGGGATCTCTGCTCTGTGGTAGCCTTGACTGAGTCTGGAGCAAGACTGGAGCCATTTTTCTCCAGCAAGTCTGTTGCTACCCTTTATGCTCCTTTTCATTGACTTCTCCACCCTCGCCCCAGGTGAAATGAACAGAAATCAGAGCTTGGGGATGGGGACAGATTGTAGTATTTTGACCAAGTGGCTTTAAAGAAATAAGAAGATAAAATGATCAGAAAGGCAAGCTTCATCCATTAAGAAGAAAATAGAAGCTTGGGGGAAGAAAATATGCTCTTTATTCTGATAAGAGGCAGAAGTTGCTCGTTAAGAAAAATCAATGACAATGACACAAAGAATAAAGCATCTGACACATTAAAGACTCTTTAAGGTCATATGATTTCCACTCAAATGGATCTGAAGAGAATAACACTCCATTTGTGATATCCATCTCTTCAGTAGCACACATTTTAAACCAAATTGGAGAGATCAGTTAAAAAAAAAGATAGTTGTAAATCTTTACAAGTATTTTGAATGTATTAATACATTGACTAAAAGGTGATGCCATCTGAATTATTATATGGTCATATGTATCCCAGCTGGTATTAAATAAAATCTCAGGTTAAATGTCTCCGTGGAAAGGCCATATTTTGTAAATAACCCAAGCAAATATATTTAGAAAAGTCAACTTTATATTGGAAAAATTATATTTGTAAATGATATAGATACGGTCCCAAGTGTACCAATTTGTGAGACCTCACTCTAATAAATCTCTCAGACCTAATTTAAACTGCTTTATTGTTGCACGGATACTCACGGCAGGAAGTGCAAAGAAAGAAATGCCAAGGAGTGCAAAGCCTGCAGAAAGCAATCTTCCCAGCCAAGTTAGGGGGGTTTTGTCTCCATAGCCAATAGTTGTCAATGTAATCTAAAAACAAAAGAGACAGAACATGCAACTTGAGTACTTGAGAAGAAAGTTAGGACCCATAAAAAGGAGGTAAAGGAACATTTCCCCTAAATCATTATTCAACAAGTCCTGTTGGTGCATTTTATTACTGTGCTTTAATTTTCCATGACGCATAACAGAACTTCTCTTTGTTTAAGGAAGGGAATAACCTACATACTTGTTCCTCCCTTGTAACACAGCTTCCATCTTTCCTAAGTGTATTCAAAGAAAGGTTATTTAAGTAAGTGGATAACCATCAGTGATACAGAAATGATAGCACCATGGATTTAGGACTGGATCAGTACACAAAACAATAATTTATATTAATTAAGTCTGTCCATTCACTGCCTTGGCAGGCATTTCCTGAAGGTCTGGTCTGTGCAAGGTATATGTTATAATTTGTAGTGGAACAAAAATGAGAGATGCATAGTTCTTGTCCTGAGATATTTATGGCCTAGTAAGAGAGACAGACATGTCACACACAAATAAGTAAAATATGAAATAGGGCAAAACAGGTATTAGGATGGAGACACAAATAACCTGCTATGCGAATTCAAGTATAAGCTTGAGGTGCCAGGGAGACTTTACTGGGAGATGTAATCACACCTGGACCTTGAAGGAAGGGCATTATTTTGAGAAGCAGACTTCTATGCTGCTATGCTAAAGAGGATGGTTTAGAGAGGGGAAACAGGTGACCAGCTAGCTGTCTGGCAGTGAGAAAAAATAGGATAGATTCTGAAAAGCAGACGTTGTTCAGCTGGATGGGGCATGGTAGATTTGAAAAGGATCAGTGGCTTCTTCAATTTCTTTCATTAATATTTTATAGACTACAGTGTACAGATCTTTCACCTCCTTGGTTAAATTTATTCTAATTTCATTTTTTATAGCTACCCTATTATAAATGCAGTTGTTCTCTTGCTTTCTTTTTTTTTTTAGAAAGTTTGTTGTTACTGTATTGAAATGCTATTGATTTTGTGTATGTGTGTTTATTTTATATCCTACAACTTTATTGAATTTGTTTACTAGTTCTAAGAGTATTTTTGTAGAATCTTTAGGGTTTTTGCTATATAAGATCATGTCAGCAAACAGTGGCAATTTCATTTCTTCCCTTCCTATGTCTTTTATTTATTTCTCTTGCCTAATTGCTTTGGCAAGGACTTCCAATACTGTTTTGAATGGAAGTGGCAAGAGTGGGCATCCTTGTTTTATTTTGGTCTTAGAGAAAAGGATTTCAATTTTTCACTGTTGCGTATAATGTTAGCTGTGGGCTTATTATATATGGTCTTTAATGTGCTGAGGGACATCCTTTTATATCTAGTTTTTGGAAAGTTTTTCTCATAAAAGAATGATAAAATTTGGTCAAATGCCTTTACTGCATCTAATAAGATGATCTCAAATAAGCAAGGCACAAAAAGGCAAATACCACATGTTTTCTTACAAGTGGAATCTGAAACAATTTAATTCATAGAAGCAGAGAATGATGGTTATTGAGGTTGGGGGCTAGGGAAATGGGAAGACAATAGTCAAAGGACACAAAGCCACAGTTAGAGAGGAGGAATAAGGCTTTTTCTTTTTTTTATTTTTATTTTTTATTTTTTGAGTTGGAGTCTCACTCGGTTGCCCAGACTGGAGTGCAGTGGCCGCTTCCGGCTACCATAGCCTCGACCTGCTGGGCTCCGGCGATTCTTCCGCCTCAGCCTTTCGAGTAGCCGGAATTACAGGCATGCACTACCATGCCCAGCTGATTTTTTGATTTATTGTAGAGATGAGGTCTTGCTGCCCAGGCGGGTCTCGAACCCGCGGGCTCAGGCCATCCACTCGCCTCAGCCTCCCAAAGGCGTGGGATGACAGGCTGAGCCACCGAGCCCGGCAAGGCTTTTTCTTAAAAGATGTATTGCACAGTGTGGTGAATATAGTTAGACATAGTATATTGTACATTTTAAAAATCACTGAGAAAATTTTAAGTGTTCTCACTACAAAAAGTGATAAGTATTTGAGGTGATGGCTATGCTAATTAGCTTGATATAATTATTTCACACTGTATTCATAAATCATAGCATCACTTTGTACTCCATAAATACATACAACTATAATTTGTTAATTTACAATTAAAAAAGGATTAATGGAAGGTGAGGTTCACTAGACATTCTAAAGCTAGGCCAGCCATGGAGACTGTCATTGAATATTACATCTCTCCCATGGTCAAACAGCACCCCTCACAATCTACGGGGTTCTGCATGATTGGGCCAACTCCTCAGACATGGTCTTCTGCCACTCGCCTTCTCATTCTGCTTCCAATCCTCCGGCCTTTCTGCTCATCTGTGCACCATACTTTTTCTTGCCACAGGCTCTTGACATTTTTGCTGTCTCTCTCTGGATTTCTCTTACTCTCAGGTCTCCATTCACATACCTGCCCAATTGTCAGCTTCACAGAAAGACCATCTCAGAGCACCTTATTAAGACACTTCCTGACTAATTGTTCCCTAAATTCTCATTCTGTTCATTTTTATTCACAGAAGATATCAATACCTGAAACAACATCATATATTGATAAATTGTTTATCGTTTGAGTTCCCAACTAGAAAGTAAACTGTGTGTGGGCTGCAACTTTGTCTCACTACTGAATTCTAGCACCTCACATAGTGCTTGGCATATAGTAGCCGCTTGATCTATATGTACAGAATAAATGAATGAGAGCAGAATAGGGTGAGATAAGGATTCGGTTCTATGTTTTGCAGACCAGAAATACTTATGGAAAGTTTCTAAAGCAGTGTTCATAATGTAATCAGAGTGGTGCTTTTAGAAACCAAAATTGTGGCAGTAAATATACAGTAGATTGGAACAGGGAGAAATGAAATGTGAGAAGACCAATTAAGAGATTGTACAGAAGTGCAGTGTAAAGAGATATGTCTAGGAAGTTCAATAGATACATTTATTGATGGTGAAAGGGAGCATTAAGGCAACAATGACTTGAGAATTTCAAGTGGGAAGATGGTTGCATTGTAAATAAAAGTATGATAATAAAAAAAAAGAAGGTTTTGGAGCAAAGGTAAAAAGTTTGGTTCTGCAAATAATGGTTCTGAAAATGTCAGTATTACTGAAATGTAGAAATGTCTAGCAGGAAACTTAGAATGAGAGCTTGAGTCTCTAGAGAGAGATTGGGTTTAGCATGAGATTTGGCTTTTGGAATCAGGAACAGGGTGGCTGTTGAAGTTTTGTGCATAAAAGAGCTTACAAAGGGTGCACAGAAGGGGCCCAGGACACCTCGGGAGACACAGATTTATAAGGTGTGAAAGGGAAAAAGAAAGTCAGAGAAGAATTAACTTCCTAAAATGCAGGAGAATCAGGAAAGGGTTATGTAAATGGGAACCTAATGGAGAAGACAGTTTCATTAAAGGACCAGGTGACCCCCCGTGTCACAGGCCAACCCAAAACGAGGAGAATGAGGACTGAGTATTGGGTATGGTGGAGATGGGTGATCACTGGTGATCACTCTGGGCATGCCAGCTTTACCTGAGCTTTGAAGGAGGAGGAGCAATTGAGGAGGAGAAATGATAAAGAGGGAGATGAACCTCACAAGGCCAAGCCTTTCAGAAGCATTCAGCTCATCTGCCCATTTCTCCTAGAAGCACGCTTTTTGCTTCCATGGTTTCCCTTCACGTGCTTTTGGCTCTTTTGCTATGGCTCTTCCTACTCTGTTCAGCCTCTGGACACTGGATTCCTAAGGTTTTGTTCTAGGTTTTTTCTCTTTTTAAAAATTTTGCTCTTGAACTTTCCATTCTTTTTAAAAAAATCTCTTTTTTTAGTCTCTCCTCCCAGGTGATCTTAAATGTTTGCATAGATTTAAATGCCATTTTTTATGCCAAATACACCAAATTTATACCTCTAGGACAAGCCATTCTTCTGAGCTGCCAATTCACATATCCAAGGCTATTTCTATTTGGACGTTTTGTGCGGTCATTTAAACCTAACATGTCTACAACAGAACTCGTATTTCCCCAACTTGTCACCCACCCCCAAGTGTATCCCTTCCCATCTTGACCAAGAACATCACCATCCATCCATGCGAGAAGTTTCAGAATCATCCTAAAGACTCCTTTTTCACACTCTCCTCACTGAACCTACCAGCAAGTCCTGTTTATTCTTCCTTCTTAAGATCTTGCAAACTCATTCTCTTTTCTCTCTTTGCTGCCACCGTGGTAGACCAGGCTGCTACAGTAGCCTCTTTCTTGCTTTCTCTGCTTTTACTCTTGTCTTCCTTTCCTTCTTTATGTACCTATGAGGGGTATAATTTTCTTACTTCCCTCTAAAAATCTTTTAATAGCTATCCATTAAATTCAGAATAAATTCTAAGTTCCTAGATAAGGTCTACCTGATCTGGTCTCTGCCTATCTTTCCAAAATCATCCTGATTTCATTCTTGCTCACTGCAATTTATTATTATTTTTTTCAAGCTCAATCTCATATGTGCCATCCCACTGCATTTTAACAACAGCAGCTTTTCAGCTCCTCAAACAAGCCAATATTTTTCTGTCTCAGGGCCCTTGCACATGCTGTTTCCACAGCTGGAATTGCTGTTCTTTCCACTCTTTCCAGAGTTTCTTCTCATCTTTCAGGTCTTATTAAAAGCAAGCCCCTCATTAAAGAGGTCTTTGCCTATCTACCACAGAGCCTCTGGTCACTCTCTATTTCAGCTCCTTGCTTCTTCATAGCACTTATTATAAGTGGTAATTTGCTGAATTTTTCTTTGAGGAGGTGTCCTTATTTCCTTCACCAGAGGAAGGAGCCACAACTTACTCTTTGATACCTTCCTAACACCTAGTATGATGCTTGCTACAAAGTAGGAGGAACTCATTAAATATTTAGTAAGTAGATGAAGAATCCTTTCAAGTACATTGACAGAAAACAAGGGAAGAAATAGGGCAAGAAATCTCTGACTTGAGGGGATACTTTTTAGGGTGTACTTGTGTCCGTTTACAGAGA